ATGTTGTGACATTTCACACACAAAATACGATTAGGATAAACTATTTGCACCACATTGCAGTTCACAAAAATTTGTCCTTTTTCCAAAATTACGTTATTACGGTTGCACAGTGTAGGATCACGATTATAGGTAAATAAAACAAATCTTCTAGAAACAGATCACTAACATTTTTAAAAAAATAATGAAAATGGATAAGTAATATTCAACATAAATATAATAATGCGCCTACTGTTTTGCTAACAAAAATAAAGGCGAAACACAGAAAGAAAATTATCGTGACAGAACAGTGAATATTTTTTTACGGTGATTGAAAGGAATGAATGAAATGAAACAAACAACCCGAAAGTGGATATTTGTCTTGTCTATGCGCTGATGCGCTCCATGGACAATAAATTGTTTTGGTAGCAAAAATTATACCAGCACTTCACTTGGCACTTGTATTTGCTATTTGTAAACATGACATCCTTGTTAATCTCAATAAAGCAAGATAAAGCTAGAAACATATTCAAGTGTCGTGGTGTGCTAGAAGCTGTAACCTCTCTGTCACTCTCTAACTCATAATAAATGTATGAAACCGATGCGTTACGACACGCCACGCTATGTTTTATGTTTTTGGCTTAAGGATAGATTGATTTCACAAGTTCACAAAATAGCAAACACGAAGAGTGAAATGAAGTGCCGACATTATATCTTCATTTATTTATATATTTTGGCTTATGGAGAAAAATACTTAAGTACTAATGGTCACACACAACACGACAGACAAATAGAAACAAAGAAAAGAGAATTAAATAGAGGAAATATATTACCCAGCTATATATCGTATGCCTTGAAAAAATAAAAAAAAAACATATACCGGAAACTGGCAAGTGCCGTCTGTCAGTGGCTTGTCTATGCCAAAGCGCCCTTTTCCGTCTTTCTTCGTTTACGGGCTCAGAGGTTAGAAACATGGTGCGTAAACTTTTATCAATAAAATGAAGTATTTGTGTGGTTTTACACTAAAAATATTAAATTTCATCCCTAAATAGGATTAGAAGTAACAATCCATATAGTGTCATAGGTGTAATTTTGTCTACACATGAGTGGTGATGTCAAATCGTGTGAGCATGTGGCTTGAAGATGGCATAATTTTGTTTCCAGACACGCAAACGCCGCAATGGAGGACGCGCCAAGCACGGCCGTGGCCACGTGAAGGCAGTGAGATGTACCAACTGCGCCCGTTGTGTACCGAAGGATAAGGCTATCAAGAAATTCGTGATTAGGAATATTGTCGAAGCGGCTGCTGTCAGAGACATCAACGAAGCCTCAGTGTACGCAAGTAAGTTTGTAATTACTTTTCTTTCATTGCATGGAAAATTGGATAAGAACAATAAATTACCTACGTTACAACCTCCTTCATAGGTGTAAGAATCGTGGTTTAGATCACATCATCACTTAAAATAACACATTGCTTGACTAGTCCAAGCTAAGCACCTAACTACTGTGTTCTCGGTACCTTAAGTAATTTGATTATACAATGCTCTGTCTACTCTGGCATGATCCTCTGAAGCTAAACATTAATTTGACAACAGTGTATCCCTGTCATTCTCCATACAGAATGAAATGGACAGACTCATGTTAAATTTAGTTTTAAGTTTAGAGAATCCTGGCAGACACTAATAATTGCTTTATTTTATTTACAGCATTCCAGTTGCCTAAGTTATATGCCAAGCTGCACTACTGCGTGTCATGCGCGATCCACAGCAAAGTTGTCCGTAACAGGTCGAAGAAGGACAGGCGCATACGCACTCCACCCAAGAGCAATTTCCCTAGGGATATGAACCGCCCACAGAATGTTCAGAGGAAGTAAAAGTTTAATAAAAAAAACTAAAACCTATTATTGTTTCTTATTACCAGTAACAGTTAATTTCCATTTCTGCTCTTAGTAGAACGGCGGGCTGTTTCCACAACTCGACACCCAGTGCCTATTTTGCGAGGGGATTGGCATCAGTCCTGCCATCCCAGCTCCTTCAGAAAGCTCAGCAGTCCCCGGATGTTGCTGCAGGCTTCTATTGGTGTCCGCGGGCTTCCCATTAGAGAAGTCCTTTGTCTTGCAACGCCTCTGCACTCCAGCAGAACATGGGCGCTCGTCTCCTCCACCTCTCATTTCTGCTCTGCTTTGCCCTTATTTCTCTGTACAATTTTGTATCTTATCTGCTCTAATACTAATAGGCTTAAAGTTACTACGTATGATTCTAAATTTTGGAGCCTAATTGCAGAGAATCTATTTGGGCCAACATGATCAAATAATCAATATGTGGGCTCCATTGAAGCTAAGAAACCAAACTAATCCCTAAGAATATGATGGTGTCTACAAGGCCTATATTTTATATTCGCACTGGTTTTTGCCTGTTTTACATTAGGTAATACTTTTCTAAATTTCGTTTTTCCTTCAATAATTAATAAATTATTAACAATGAACCAGTGGACTATCTTAGAGTTACAGTTGTTCACGTCATCAATGACTGCTACCTAAAAGTGATGTATCATCCGCGAACAATACTATCTCATGATTATCTCTCATAGTCATTAATATAAATTAAAAATAAGAAAGGACCAAGGATTGAGCCCTGCTGAACGCCCATGTTAACCGGCGAACCCGGAGATTTATTGCCATTGATGTCGACCCTCTAAACCTCACCTCATCCCTCAGGTATGATGCAATAAGATCCAGATTGGTATCCATAGAGAAAGTAATAATACTAGAAATTAGTACCTACCTATCTCTAGATCCGTTGTGGTGTGAATTATGAGGTTGATTATTCCTAAATCATATTAGATTCTATAAGTAACTACAAACTTCAAAAAAGTGTAAGCAACATCTACGCAGCTACGGTTCTGAACTACTGAACGATTTTTACTTTTACTAATAATATACACAATCAAAATCATTTATTGAGTTGTTACAAGCACTCATGAATGTCTAGAAGCTACGCCATCGTTTCTTAAATCTACGGCGGGAGACCTTGCACTGAGAACAACCGGCAAGTGCAGTTTTTTTCTCCCCATTTTATTATTTATATTAGGTAAATATACATTAAAGGTTTACCTGCATTTTGATTGCTGTGTCATACAGTATAAATACAAATAGTGTTATTAATATAAAGTGGAACTAAACATTAACATCTTCAATATCAAGGAAGTTAGGGCAGACTCATCACCGCTGGCAGCACCCGTTCTCGAGCATGACGCATGAAAAAGTCATTACTTCGCTCAAGTATATTTTTGGGAATGTAACGACCCGCCTCACACGATACCACACCATACTATACTACTTATTATAAACCGTAGTTTATAATTTTAAAATCTGTCAATTTTATCAGAGAACAAGAAATATTGTATAACAATCTAATTATGATAAAAGAATATCAACAATTATCAAACATAGTTCTGTAAATGATCCGTTGCTAAGACTTTTTGAAGTTTGTGTGTACCTATAAAACCTAATATGATTGAGAAATTGAACCTCTCAATTCACTATAGGTATTGTAAGTAAACTTGCTCAAGAGGAGCTATAATATGTGTATTGCGCCGTGCGTGGGTTGTTTGATGTGCCATTATGCAAGTGAATTAAACACCCGGCATATTGGCCGTAAGTGCACAGTAATAGCAAATAATAAATATTTCCAACACTCACACCAATTAGCCTAGCCCCAAAGTAAGCACTGTAAAGGCTTGTTATGGGATACTAGGGTAACGGATAGAATACATATACTGTAATATAAGTATATTTATATAGAAATACATATTAAACATCCATGACTGGAGTACAAATGCTCGTATTCATCACACAAACATCTGCCCCCACCGGGATTCGAACCCAGGACCTCTCGAGTCGGCGACACCATGAAACCCGGCGTACAAACCATTCGGCCACGGAGGTCGTCATATATCAAATACGCTAGTGCTGGTTAGAAGTTCACAATCTCTTACTCCAGGAGGCACTTTAAGTTGGTCCCAGACGCATCTCATCTGCAGTTGTCAGAACCCACTAATCTGCACCTATTTTACCAAACTGGAAGGCTCAAGCTGGCCCAGCAGTAGGGACATTAATTAGAATATGATGATGAACTATTAGTTTAATTTTTTATCAAGAGAATTGGTGTTAGGATTTTAGAAAAAAAAAAACAATCTAAATGCATCAATTCATTATAGGTACTTTATTTGAATCAACGGGAACATTCTTTACAAAGGCAATGAGATAATAACACTTTCTTAACATATTTCCAGTCAATATTGTTTAGCTAATTACTTGGTTGTCATCATAATAGTATGTGCATTGATTTAGAATTGAAGTGTTGGTGTCTAATATACCATGTAAAATCTGTCTGTTAATCTTATGGGTCTATTCATTCAGTTCTTTATCTTTAACTATAATCAGAAGAGCCACATAAAAAAACAGATATAACAAAAAAAAACAATGATGTTTATAATTTCATACTTTGTCCCATTCCTATTTTAAATACAGTTAAAAAGGCCACCATATAGAAGCCAACACAGAGGTGAATGCTGAAACTAATGTTGGGGGAAGAACAATAAATTACCATTAAAATTGCATGTCAACCAATCTACAAGCCTACATAATTCTTTTTGAGTACTTTTACAAATTATTCAATTTATGGTAGGTTATAAAATTTATAGATAAAATTACACATTCCAGCCATTCCAATTGTCAAAGGACCACTAAATTAATATGTTGTTATAGCCGAAACTCTGATGACAATATAAAACATCATTATGATAAGCAAAATTATTGGTTTTTAACCATAACTACATTTCAGAGACAATTACATTTAATAAGCTACAGGTCAATAATTGGGAAAAATTAAAATAATAAAATCAAAGTAAACAAGTTACTGTTGGTAGGTATTCAAAATACAGCATAATATTCGCATATTACAAGGATTTCATAATTCTCAAAGTATTTGCAACTATTCTTAAAGAAGAATTATAAATGTAATTATTTCCCAATTATTCATTTAATAATAACTACATTCTACAGTGTTAAACATAATGTTATCAGGGACCCTTTATTCTGTATATGGTTTGTGGAAATTTCCCCATTGGTCTTGCAGTTTGGGTAGTTTCTAGAGCTTCTTTGAGATTCTTCTCAAAAACTTTCTTAGCATCACAGAAACCTTGTTTAGTTTTGCCGAACGAGTTTGGTCCAGCCGATGTTGGAGTTTCCCTGAAAGTAAAAATGAATTATCATTAGAATGGTTTTCAGTAACATGAAAACACACAGGAATTAAACACTAGCAAGTAGGTGTTGTATCCAAATAGAATCATTTATTAATTGCAATTGTGACATTATAAATATGATGATCTGCTGTTCTAACAGGTTCTAAAATATTTTAAGACAAGCATTTTGTCTTTAATGCTTTCGCAGGAGTCTTTACCTTCCAATATTTCTCATTCTCATGCGAGCTTCAGCCGGCATCTCCTCTGGTTCATCATCATCATCATTAAACACAGAAGCCACAGATGGTTTAGGCCTACTTGCAGCAGGTTTCGATGCACCACTCAATGTCATCTTGATGGGCTCCTTGGGCTTAGCGAATCCCATGGATATTTTAGTGATGCGAGGAGGTGGTGGTGGTGCTGGCACTTCCTCATCAGAGTCCTCCCACTCGTTTGGTGATAACCTCACCTTTTTATCTATAATTTTGAAAAAAGGCTTGTTTATTGATAATATATGTATATAAACCTAATCAATTAAAGATAAAATTAGGTCGTGTAGTGTACCAAATATTTCATAACAATCAACAACTTCATTTTAAACTAGATTTTGAAAAATTGGATGATACTATTACCCTCATATTTATGTTTCAGATCCATGTCTCGATTACTTGATGATCTGCCCACTTTGTCGCTGCTGTCAGGTGAATATCTGTTCCGGGTATCGGATGAGCGTCGGGGTGACCGTGACCTGGAACGCGATCGCCTTCGCTCATGATCGCGACTGCTCCAAGCCTCATCTTTGTGCGTCCTGGAATCATCACGCGGTGCTCGAGACGACCCTGCCAATGCGAAAACACTGGCAAAGATAAATAAAAATACGTATTTGAGTAAACAAATACAGCAAATTTATCGACACGAGACTTCGAGTTTACTTTTGGCAATCATTCATTCCATATTATTCGAATACCTTTATAATCTCTGTATTCACTGTAGCGCTTACTCATATTTTAATAAAAAGTAGACATCAATTAAATTAAATGTTTTGCGAGACTGGAAAACAAATTAAAACATAATTTGCCTGCACGTCACGACAGACAAACCGGCAGCCATATTGTATTTTTATTTTATCGAATGAAACCATAGACATTAATTAAGCGCATGCGCGCACTGCTGATCAACAACCGTTCAGCGGACTGAGAAAGTAACGTTTGCAAAACGCGCGCAATACGGCAAAAAAAACAACAACAAGAGATCAAATTCTTCATGCAAAATACTACTCTTTCGGGAAAATATACTAAAAGGCTTTATAAATTAATCATAATCTAAATCAATAAGAAAATTAATCCCCCACACCAGTCACGCGGGTTTTTTTAGTAACGATCCATGCCATGGGGTTTGATAGGGTGATGTGTACATGGCATGAATCGTTACTAAAAACCCGAACCGGTTGAGAATCACCAAATGGAGTTTTTTTGTCTCTGTCTTATAAAATGATGTGTAACATCTTTCCTCTCGCTTTCCTGAATTTGTGGGAGTGATTCCGTGAAATGGGATATATATCAGATAATACCAGTCTCTCATACTGTACAGCAGCTATACTCTAAGTGTGTTCCGCGGAACCCTAGGGTTCCGTGATACCTCTGTCGGGGTTCCGCAAGAATTTAGAAATAAAAAAATCAAAACACCTCTCTCTGGTCGCTCCGCGGCTGTGCGGACTCCGCGGCCGCGCGGAGACAAAACGCTATGAATGTTATTTATTTATTTATTTGTATTTGTATAAGCTTGTGTTACATTAGCTGGTACAATATCTCATAAGTTTGGTCTCAACAATTTTATACTTGTACAACGCGTTCGCTCTAAGTTTGCCGGTCTGTGGAATGCGCGTACCCTCCCCCACGTGACAACAAAACTTATAATGTGTCATAGTTTTACCCAAATATCTAACGTACACAATTTTTATTGTTACAATTAAATAAAAAATTTCGAACGTCATACACTCATACCTATCGCCAGCGGCAAACTTAAAACGAGCGGGTAGTATACTTGTAAGCGCTCAGTCTCTTTGATAAAAGCCGCCTCTGAATTAGACGCTATAGTTGTCAACTAGCGACTTTCGTCTCTAACTTCAAAGGATAAAGTCGATATTGTTTACAACGCTATTTTTAAATTTCTGTTTTTATTTTTGCTTTTTGTTTATCAAAGGTGCCGACTCGAGTATTTTCGAGAATATTTGAGATCGAGTCTAGGACTAAGTATAAAAGCGGCGATCGCGCGTTGGCGTCGTCAGTTGATGATTAGCGTTCGGAGCGATAAGTTACTACCTACTTACAAGCTCGCTAGCGAGAAACTGGTGTTCATTGTTTTACTGCCTGCTGTATTCTGTTGTCTCAGTTTTATACATTTCTTCCCTGTAGGTTCTAAATTTAGTCTCTTATACGCAGTAACGATTGTGCATTATTTAAACCCCACTATCCTGACTTGTAACATTATAAATAAAGAAGAATGGAACGTTGGCTTAAAGGTGTTAAACGTGTTCCAACAACATCTTCTAATGACGCTGAATGTTCAAAAGCAATGCGCGCGGAGAATTTAGCAATCACCGATCCAGAAGATGATGCCACGAGTGCCACGACGTCAAGCTCGACGGTTTCAAAGACGAAAAAAAGGAAGTATGATGAATCTTATATCAGTTTCGGATTTGTTGATTCCAACGGCTCACCTCTCTGCATGCTCTGTAGTAAACTGCTTCCTAATAGTTCCATGGCACCTGCCAAATTGCGTCGACATTTAGAAACCGTACACCCCGAGACTAAAGACAAGAATAAAGAATTTTTTGTTCGCAAAAAAGATCAGTTATTAGAAAGTCAAAAAAATATGATGCATGTAACACAAACTACCAACGAAAAGGCCACGGAGGCATCATACTTAGTTAGCTATCGCATTGCACAAGCAGGTGAAGCGCACACTATCGCTGAGAAATTAATAAAACCATGTGTATTAGACATAACAAAATGTATGCTTGATGAAAAATCTGCAAAGCATCTTTCTACTGTTCCGCTATCAAACGATACTGTTTCACGACGAATCCATGATCTGGCAAGCTACGTCAAACAAGAACTAGTTACACGTCTACAAAATACACGATTCGCTTTGCAAATGGACGAGTCGACTGATGTCGCTGGTTTGGCTATCCTGCTGGTTATTGTGAGATATCCATATAAAAGTTCTTTTGAAGAAGACATGCTTATGTGTTCATCGCTGCTTACAAACACTACCGGGGAAGAAATTTTTAATAAAATAAATATATTTTTTGAAGAACATAATCTCAGTTGGAACAATTGCATTGACATTTGTACAGATGGGGCCAAGGCGATGACAGGTAAAACAGCAGGAGCAGTGTCACGAATGAAAAATAAAGCGCCTAATTGTAGTTCCAGTCATTGTATTCTGCATAGACAAGCACTTGCGATGAAGCAAATGCCGTCTAATCTAAAATTAGTTATGGATGAAGCGGTAAAAATAATTAATTTTATCAAATCACGACCACTACAATCCCGATTGTTCTCATTATTGTGTGAAGATTATGGCAGCAAACATAAAACACTGCTGCTCCATACAGAAGTGCGATGGCTGTCTCGGGGAAAAACTTTAACAAGGCTATTTGAACTTAGAGCCGAGTTACAAATGTTTCTTTCAGCAGATACTTCTTTTAATTTGAAGGACCGTTTGTATGATAAAACTTGGTTGTTCCGATTGTCTTTTATGGCGGATATCTTTCAAAAACTTAACGAATTAAATTTATCATTGCAAGGTAAACAGACAACAGTGTTTCAGGCCTATAATAAAATAACTACTTTTAAAAGAAAATTAGATTTTTGGATCATTTGCATTGGTAAGAAAGAAATAGAAAGTTTTACGTTACTCACTGAGTTTGTTAGCGAAAACGACTCAGAAATGTTTGAAGATAATGTGTTTGAAGAATTGGTCCAATATCTCAGTTCGATGCGCGCATCTTTTGAAAAGTATTTTCCCGAAGAACACAATACAAAAATTAAAGTGAACTCCTGGATTCATAATCCTTTTTTACCCAACTTGGAAAAGCCTGAAAACATGTCAAATGAGATATATGAATCTCTTTTAGAAATGTCATCAGACACAAGTATGGAGTCATTGTTCAAAACGACGCCTCTTAATGATTTTTGGTGCAGAATCCAAGATGAATATGCAATGCTTGGCCAAATGGCTCTGGATATTCTTCTCCCGTTCCCAACTACATATTTGTGCGAAACAGGATTCTCTACCTACGCAGCCACGAAAACAAAATATCGCAATAGACTGGACGCCGAAGCTGATATGAGACTCCAACTTTCTTCCATCAAACCTGATATCAAGCAATTGATGAAAAATAAAAAACAGTTTCATACCTCCCACTAGTTAGATTTTTTCTTTTTTAATGTTTTCTATTATTGTCCTTACCAAGTGGTGAAGTAAATAATAATTAGTAACGGATACATTGTACTTTTATTATGCTGATTAATATAGAATACACTTATAAAAATAATTGTTTTATTGTAGGGTTCCATCAAGTATTTTGCTTCCCAAAAGGGTTCCGTCATTTAAAAAGTTTGAGAACCACTGCTGTACAGAGAATGACAAGTACACACTATTGTAAAATATAGGTTTAGGTTTAAAGAATCATGCCAGAATCGACACAAATATCTATGTAATTATTTTTAAAAGGTTTTTGTTTAATAAGGGCATCAATCATAAATATTAAAATTCAAAATATCTTTATTAAAATAGGTAACAAAATACAACTGTTTTGAATCGTCCATACCTACCTTCTTTAAGACAACCTAAATCTAAAATTATATAAATATACATTTCAAGGCGGATAATACTATGTGTACCTTGCCTTCGTTGTTGGAGAGTATTAAAAACAAAACTGACAATACGTACTGTTCAGAGTTGCCATTTATAAACATTTATCTGCATTTATACGGAATTAACAGAAAATTTATTTTCTTTATCTTTTTATTTTTCACTTAGGTTCATATGCAGCAATTTTGCTAAATCTCAATTTCACTAATAGATAAAGCCCATCCAATAATGTCAAATTGATATTTTCGTTTTGTAATTTTTTTATGGGTCAAGCCTAGTTTTAGTAGACCTAAACTGCCGATCTTAAAACTAGATGTGTAATATAAAATTTTAGGCACTAGAAAAAATTCACTAGGCCGGCAGACGGGACAAACCAAACAGTGTTGCCTACCAAATGTAAATCCAGAATATAATTAGGAAATGGAAAATACGGAAATATCCATACTTATGAAATCCGTATACCATCCTTTGAAAAGAATCCGTATAAAAACAGTTATGAATAAAATTCAAAGACTTGTTACTTAGGTGAGAAATGTAACATTTACAATCTCGTATCGTCCGTGTAGCCTAAGAAATACTAGAGGAAATTTGACACGGCCATTAAAGGCACACATTCACGGCAGTCCGTCGCTATATGCAGGATTGTGAACGTTGTTGCATCCTGCATGGCATCCGGCAACATCAAGCAGGATGCGTGAATGGGCTTCTCATTCTTTTTCTATTTAAAGATAGGGGAAGGTGCAGGTTCGAGTCCCGTGTGCTGCCTGGCCACATGGATTTTGTCTAGTAAAATTTACTTTAATATATATCTTCAACTTTATTTTCTGTTCTGTGGGTTTGAGGCTGAAAATCTAATGAACCTCGAGATTGTAAATGTTATGTTTCTAACCTAAGTTACAAGTCTTTGATTTTTATTCATAATTGTTTTTATACGGTTTCTCTTTCAAGGATGGCATACGAATTTTATAAGTATTGTAGAATTCCGGATCCTAATTATATTCAGGATTAAGATTTATATTGAAATTTGGTAGGCAACACTGTGTAGGGAACGAAGTTATAATTTATTGAAATTTCTCTAAAAATCTTTTTTTAAGTGTTTATGTTATAATAAAATTGTAAAAAATTCTACAGTATGTTTTTTATTAAGCGTAAGATCTACTCAACAAGGCAAATTAGTGGTTTTCTAGCGAAATCTTGCCGATGTTTTTCCGATTCAGTGAGACTAGTTAATATTAAAAATAAAATTAAAGAGGGCCCAGGTCTGAAAGAGTTCATAGAACATTCAGCCGAGCCCGTGTTATTAGATCGTCCTCGCATACCTTATTTATCCAACAACATCTTAGACACCTCAAAACGGAAAGTTTATTTCGATGTTTATGGATGTCAGATGAACCTAAGCGATACCGATATCGTATGGTCTATATTAAAAAAAGAGGGTTTCGAGAAGACCGAGGTGGAAGAAGAAGCGGACATATTCCTTGTGATGACGTGCGCTATACGGGAAAACGCTGAAACAAAGATTTGGCATCGTTTGGATCATCTGAGGGGCTTCAAAAGACGGCGGGAACTTTCTAAGAATAAACTGAGACCTGTGAAGATTGGATTACTCGGTTGCATGGCTGAAAGGCTCAAGGAGAAGTTGATTGAGAAGGAAAAGGCAGTTGATGTAGGCATGTATGGGATATATAACTTTTACTTTATATGTCTAATCAGTGTATTATAAAAGTTCTTTTAAATATTAAAAGGGTGGCAAACGAGCTTATGGCCCACCTGATGGTGATGGCCGCCACCACAGTCTATAAACACTTGCAATACAAACAATATCACTTGCACCATTACTTACCTAACCTTTTTTTTTGTCGATGGGAAATGCATTTACCCACCGTACCGCGCGCTCGCTGGGTGCGCGACGAGTGTGGTCCTACCCACTATAACCCACCGGTACCCTCCTACGCCTATATGGGAGCATTTCAGGATCGGCGCACCTGTGTGCGCCGCTTCACTGGAACGAACTTATCCTGACCCTACCCCTTGGACCCTTTTTTGCTTTTTGCCCAATTTTTACTTTTATCAATATTATTATTTTTTATTCAGGTCAATTTATTTAATTTCTTTGCAGTGGCTGGGCCAGACAGTTACAGAGACTTGCCCAGGCTTCTAGCTCTCACGGAGAGTGGACAGACTGCTGTTAATGTCTTACTATCATTGGATGAGACGTATGCTGATGTTGTGCCAGTGAGACTCAACCAGGATAGTGTATCTGCTTTCATGTTAATATTTTTTATCTATAATCTGTATCTATTTAATGTAATTAAAATAATATACGCTTGGTTAAGAAGTCTAATTGTATTAAAAACATGTATGGATGGAATATAAAACACATTAAAAAAAACTTAATCATATTCAGGGGATATATAACAAAGAAATAATGGATTTCTAAATCTTTCTATTTTAGTAGTTTTCTTTGCCGCAAAAAAATAAAATAGAAGAGATAGTATGAGAAATAAGCAATTTTTTATCAGAATTGTAAGAATCATTATTATTTTCAGCTCTATAATGCGGGGTTGTGACAATATGTGTACATACTGCATCGTACCGTTCACAAGAGGGAGGGAACGGTCACGACCGGTTGCATCAATTGTAGACGAAGTTAGGCAGCTAGCTGATCAAGGAGTAAAAGAGGTTACATTGCTGGGACAGAATGTGAACAGTTATAGAGACATTTCGGAACACACTGAGAAGGATGAGACCAAACTCACTGAAGGTAAAGTTTTGTTATAAAGGCTTTCATAATTATAATTTAAAATTGATAATAAAATGGTTTGCTTGTTATTGGTATGATTTCTTTGATTATGATTTTTTTTTGTGAGAGTTTATCTATACGTATAATAAAATGGTAGGAAATTCAAACTTGTACTTTGAATATTTTTTTAAAAGAATACTTAGTGTGATCTACAATCGATACCGAAGCCAAAAATATAGTTTTTAGAAATAGTACTGCATGGATTTACATAAAATTTAGCACATATATTATTAAGAAGTCAGGTCAACATATAGGCTACATATTATCACGCTATCACCTACGGGGAACAAGTAGTGACCCTTTATTTCTAACTTACTCCACGCGTACGAAGTCGCGGGCGGCCGCTAGTCCACTTATAAATAATCACACAGACTTAAAACTTTTGAATCTTAAAGAAGGTTTGAGCCTTTAAGAATCAAACTGAAGTCCATGGAAATATCAATGTCGGCGCCAAGTCTAAAACACTTTCCTGAGTGTTGCATAGATTGTCAAAATTTCTTGCTAAAAGTTTTTTTCATTTTCCAGGTTTTAAGACAGTATACAAGAGCAAAACGGGTGGTCTGAGGTTTGCAGATCTCCTGGATAAAGTGTCATCTGTAAACCCCGAGATGAGGATAAGATTCACAGCAGCACATCCCAAGGATTTTCCAGATGAGGTTAGTAGTTAAAAGTATTTTGGTACAATAATATTTAAATGTCTTCGCTAATAATGTGTCAATGTTGATGCATATGTCACTGTAAAATTGTAAGTACTATTAGATTATAATCTTTCTTGGGACGTTGTAAACTGCCAAAAGATTTTGAACTATTATGCTTACAATTTAACACATTATTTTTAGGAAGATTATAATCAATCGAAGTGAAACCGTAAAATTGTGAAATGGCTGCAACTGAACGCATCTCGCTCGCTGATTGGTTGGACGTCATATGCCTGGGCTGCCATATTTGTTTGTCAATTCGTTTGTTGTCGGTAAACAAACAATGTTTTGGTAATTGTTAATTAAATTCATGTTGAAAATAAGTCACAGATTAAGAAGTAGTTATGTGAAATTGTTGTGGAAGTAAAATGAATATTTGATTAACCAAAGAAGTGCCAAATAATTCCTATCAGTTTTTTTTATGCAAAATGGGCAATGCGTTTGACCACAATCTCACCTGATGGAAAGCGATGATGAGGCCTAGGATGGTACACGCCTGCCTAGAAGATACCTGTTCACTCTGGCCTTGAAGATGTCCAGATTATATTGGTCCGGGAAAACAGACCTGGGCAAGGAGTTCCACTCCCTAGCCGTTCGCATAATGAAGGCCGAAGCAAATCGCTTCGTGCGAATGGGACGAACATCGACAACATAAAGCCATTAATGACCACTCGTATCGATCTGCACCTCAGAATATCTGCAATCCAGTGGCAAAGTCCGACAGCGATTCTATATGAAGGAAGCTTGCCAATGAGACTTGCATGGCAGACCCTGTCAAAAGCCTTAGAAATATCAAGAGAAACGGCGGGAGCTTCGCCGCGTTTCTCTATGGCTTCACTCCATAAGTGTTTAGCTTGCACAAGAAGATCCCCAGCAGATCGCCCATGGCGGAAACCGAATTGGCAGTCACTGAGGAGATCGTAATCTTCGAGGTAAGCGAAGAGACGGTTGTTTAATACACGCTCCATAATCTTACAGAGTATGGAGGTGATTGCAATAGGTCTATAGTTGGCAGGGTCGGCACGACTACCCTTTTTGGGCACTCGTTGGACATTGGCAAGCTTTCAGGTTTTCGGAACTTGGCCAATCTTAAGGGATAAGCAATATAAGCGAGTCAGAATAGGAGACAATATGTAATAATAATAGGAGACAATAATACAGGACAGACAATAATAATTGACGACCTCCGTGGTCGAGTGGTTTGTACGCCGGGTTTCATGGTGTCGCCGACTCGAGAGGTCCCGGGTTCGAATCCCGGTGGGGGCAGATGTTTGTGTGATGAATACGAGCATTTGTACTCCAGTCATGGATGTTTAATATGTATTTCTATATAAATATACTTATATATGTACAGTATATGTATTCTATCCGTTACCCTAGCATCTCATAACACAAGCCTTACAGTGCTTACTTTGGGGCTAGGCTAATTGGTGTGAGTGTCGGAAATATTTATTATTTATTTAATAATAGGAGACAGTATGAACCGCCTAATGTAAGACCGACCAATCATTTTCATACAGTTGACGATTTAACACGCAACAGATTATGATTTAACAGTTTCACTTCTATAGATTATAATATACCGAAAAATTTTGTCAGTTAATAATCTCGCAAGATAGATTATAATCTATCGATATTTACAATTTAACGATGACACATAGTTACTACGTTTATTGTAAAACAATTAGGTACATCGTTTTCTCATTGTATTTTTTTCTTATCACAGCCAACTATCTAGTATCCTTCCAATTTCTCGATCAAGGTTGTCTGAAAGACAACCTAGTCTAATAGTCATTACTCTTTATTTTTCTGGTTACTTTACTATGGCAGCATATTTGATACAGATTTGTGTATTGTATTTATTATTAAATTTTAAGTCAGACAGAACATAAATTTAAAAGTTTCTTCTTTTTCTACTATTTATGTCTGGTTCATGTCTTATTGGTTGCCCTGGTCAATAAATTGGCAATATAAACTAGATTCTTTTAATTATACCTCTCTAGCATTATATGAGGAGCTCGACAGTGCAAGTGGTTCGTGCAATCGGTCTGCGACCGTTGAAGCTAGTGTTGCCAGGTCCGATTTGTTTTAAATCGGTACATGAGGGCATAAAAATCAGGATTTAGGGTTGTACATCGGAACAGTAAACAAAAAGTAAGGGGTTTTTAAGTCTGGGTTTAATTTATTGCATTTTAAACTACTAGTGCAAGTATAGTATTATATTAATAACCTAAATTTGAGGAGCTCGATTTCGCAAACGGTCAGCGCGTTCGGCTGCGATCATTAAAGTTAAGCAACTTTCCCAGTGGTCGGTCATTGGATGGGTGACCAAAAATCTTCTATCTCGAGTTCCTCCGTGCTTCGGAAGGCACGTTAAGCCGTTGGTCCCGGCTGTATCTGCAGTCGTTAGCACCGGCCAATCCGCACTGGGTCCGCGCTGCGGGTCATGGCCCAATCTCCCTATTCCATCCATAGGGAAGGCCTGTGCCCCAGCAGTGGGGACATTAATAGGCTGATGATGATGAACCTAAATTTCATATTTTCATTCATCGGGACATTTAGCGTCCCGATCAGGTACAAATTGGGACGCGTCCCCAGACCCCTGAAAATCGGGACGTCCCCCGCAAATCGGGACACCTGGCAACACTAGTTGAAGCTAATCAACTTTCTTAAATGGCGAATATTGGAAGGTAGACCAAAAACACCAAGCTTCTCTATGTTTCGGAAGTCATGTTAAACCGTTCATTCTCGATGCATCTGCAGTTGTTAGTAGCACCCACCAATTCTCACTGGCCCGGGGCAAGGGCGGATCCAGATTTGGCGCCAGGGGGGGGGGGTCATATAGCCAGCTTTGGCTCCACGGGGGGGTCATATAGTCGTGGAATATTAAATATTGAAAGTACTTAAATAAAATCCCCCTGGGTTTGGTCCATCTGTACCCAGCCCGGGGTGGTGGGGAGGGTTTACCATCACACCACCCAATGGTGTCGATTCTAGCACGATTTTCCAAAGTTAAAGCTAAATTTAACTTCAGTCTCTTTTTTTCATTCTGCATAGAGAATGACAAGGATACACCGTTGTCACATTTAAGTTTAGATTTAGAGAATCATGCCAGAATCGACACCAATATCTGTCTATTCCAATCAAAGATTTTAAATATCCTAGATACACCACGAGCGTTCAGAATGTGTCCCAATCAAGAAGTGCTTGAACTCCACTCTAGCACTTCTTGGTTCACAGTCACGCGCGAACCGTTTCAAAGTCAAGACGCCACAGAGCTCCGTGAAAAAACGCGAAAAAAATACTTATAGTACGAAAAGTGTCGTTTTTTCGACAGGTTTCTAATCTATTTTTGTTATTTTTACGCATTTGAAACAAATTTTGTTCTAATACTTACTATTAACTGATTCATTCGAAAATATTTGTGCTATTCAAATGCATGGTCGGTTATAGACATCTTTTTTTTTTCTCGCGGTCCGTACCTGCTATATTGCTAACAGCGCATTCGGAATTGCGCATAGAGACAAAAGAAGGTAAGGTCTATATTTTTCCGCATATAGCAATAAGTCGTAAAATTTTACGAGTTTGCATTTCGAACTGTCAAAAGTCTTTGACGCATGCGTTTTAATTAAGACCTTATACAGTATTCATTTAAGGTGACTTTCAATGTTTAAATTATGCCTTATATATGGTGTTTGACTACGCGATCATCTTACGGAGATCCATGGATCGTACAACTACTCTTTGGACACGTTTCGGCCACTATTTTGTTCGTGTTGTTGTATCTAGGATATTTAATATCGTTGATTCCAATCCATAAGCATTGGTAAGCCCCAGTAGTGAGGACATTAAAAGGCTGATGCAACGACCCTAGATACACCAACACGAACAAAATCATGTCTGAAACCTGTCCAAAAGGTACATGGAACGATCCACGGAGCTCCGTAAGATGATCACGTAGTCAATATCAATATAAGGCATTATTTAAATATTAAAAGTAACCTTTAATACATACTGTATAAGGTCTTAAATAAAACGCATGATTCAAGGACTTCTGACAGTTCGAAATGCAAGCTCGTAAAATTTTACGACTTATTGCTATATGCGGAAGAATTAAGACCTAAGTTCTTTGACTCTACGCGCAATTCTGAACGCGCTGTTAGCAATATAGCAGGCACGGACCGCGAGGAAAAGAGACTGCTATATGGCGACGTTTAACCGACCATGCATTTGAATATCACCAATATTTTATATTAAATCAGTTAACGGCGCAGGCGGGTAGCTCAACCGTACTGACGATGACTAGATTGGCCAGTAGTGTGAGTGTGACCTATGTATGACATGACCATGGGTTCCTGGCGGCCAGGTGCTGCAAATAATATCGGAGCGTAGGAACATCTGCAAGCTGCTGCACTTGCCGGCGCAGGCGGGTAGCTCAACCGTACTAATTATGATGAGATTGGCGAGTAGTGTGTGTGACCTATGTATGACATGACTATGGGCTTCCTGGCGGCCAGGTGCTGCAAATAATATCAGAGCGTTACAACATCTGCAAGCTGCTGCACTTGCCGGCGCAGGCGGGTAGCTCAACCGTACTGATTATGATGAGATTGGCGAGTAGTGTGTGTGACCTATGTATGACATGACCATGGGTTTCCTGGCGGCCAGGTGCTGCAAATAATATCGGAGCGTAGTAACATCTGCAAGCTGCTGCACTTGCCGGCGCAGTCAGGTAGCTCGGCGGTGCTGCAGCGCATGCGGCGCGGGTACACGCGCGACGCGTATCTGAGCCTCGTGGAGCACGCGCGATCTACTATACCTGGAGGTAACTACGCAATAAGCTTAGATTAAAACAAAACGGGTAGATACGGCACTAGCCTCACAAAAGTGATCCGCATGAATGAGGGCTATCGCGTATGAATCCGCCGCTAGAGGCGCTAGTGTAGCGTGAGGTCTCCGAAATGTCAAATGTTATTGCTTGTTGGTTGACTACGCGGGTTTATTTCTAATTAAAATAATGTTGTGAATAATTGGTAACAATTCGGCTTAATTATGGCAAATATGAGGCAATGAATGTCAGTTATTAAAAATTTGAGCTTAGAAAAATGATTACGTTCCCATTTTTTCCGAATAAAACGGAACTGCGCGTCACTGTGGCATGGCCTATTATGTTTAGGATATGGTTCTTTTGTGTTAAAATACGATCTAAATGTAACCTTTGATTTCATGTGCGTATTAATAAACTTTAAAAGTTACAATTTAGGACCTCACTCAACAGTGGCGCCATCTGGTGAGGCAGAAAACGGTAGCCCTCGTTGTGGTGCACGACCCTAATCGCTTTAGATTGTAGGAAGGAATCTTATAGTAAAGTCACTTTGAGACTATCGCGTTGCATTATAAATATAAGATTTCATAGGTTAAATGTCGGGATAACGCAGGTAGATACGAAAACATTAACTAAAGTACGCGTTTTGACCTTAGATTAAAACAAAACGGGTAGATACGGCACTGGCCTCACAAAAGTGATCCGCGTGAATTGTAGTCCACGACCCTAATCGCTTTAGTCACAACTTGACATGCAAACGACGTACATGTGAACGCCGAAAAGAAATATTGCTAATATATTGTGTTTATTGGATAAAACAATGCCTAAGTGTGTTTTTAAAAAGTGCTCAAATTGCTCAAGAACTAATAATAAAACCCACGGCATCACTTTTCATTCGTAAGTACTATAAAATATATTTTTTCATAAAAATTGCTGTTTGTTTTGAATCTTATTCGGCAGTGACGTCGAGTACTGGTCGCGTGATTGGTCGGTAGTGCAGTGCCGCGGATCTCGCCGTCTCGTTCGCGCTGCCGTTGAAACTTAACGTGCTGTTTCGTTCGGGTCGGTAATGCAGTGACGCGGATCTCGCCGTCCCGTTCGCGCTGCCGTGGGATCAGTTTTTGTTTGATGCAAGTATGAGCGTACCGTATCTACCCTTTTTATTTTAATCTAAGGCAATAAGGCGGTAGTTTTTTAAAACTGAAACTTTTATAACGTGCCCCAAGTTTTTACAAAAAATATTAAATTTTTATAGTAATAGATGTTATTTACGGGATTGTTACCATGTACCTTGTTTTTAGCGAGTTTCCGATATTTCGGCACTGTTGCAAGCGCCATGATGACGGAGTAACTGAAGTAATTGCGGGTAGGCTGTTATTGGCAGACATATCGGTCTACCCTCCGTCGAAGTCTGTTATGGCGTTCGATACCCGTACCACAGTTCACATTCTCAATATTCACTCGAAACTGTTCTCGACACACAACACTTAGAGTATCGGATCGCGACTCGACACTTTTTTGATTATTTCCAGTTTTACACATACACTCCACAGGATTCCAGACACTCGACTCAGGTACGGGTATCGAACGCAATAAAAGACTTCGTCGGAGGGTAGACCGATATGTCTGCCAATAACAGCCTACCCGCAATTACTTCAGTTACTCCGTGATCATGGCGCTTGCAACAGTGCCGAAATATCGGAAACTCGCTAAAACAAGGTACATGGTAACAATCCCGTGAATAACTTATATTACTATAATGTTAGTGACAATGAAAGTTTAAAACATTACATTTTTAGGAGCTCGATGGTGCAAGTGTATAACGCTTTCAGCTGCGATCGCTGAAGTTGAGCGACTTGCGAAGTGGTCGGTCATTGGATGGGTGACCAAACTATCTCGAGCTCCTCCGTGCTGCGGAAGGCATGTTAAGCTGTTTGTCCCAGCTGCATCTGCAGTCGTTAGCACCCACCAATCCGTGCTGCGTGGTGGGTCACGGCCTAATGTCCCTATTCCATTCATAGGGAAACCCTGTGTCTCAGCAGTGGGGGCATTAATAGGCTGATGATGAACTACTTGATTAGGCAGTAGTTTTTTAATTTTATAGACAAGTCGAAGGACCAGTTGTGGAGCGATTTTTGAATCATTCGTATGAAATTTGCAAAGCGACTTGAATCACACTTAATTTTTGTCCTCCACGAAAGGCTCAAAAATCGGTCCACTGAAACAAATAAGAAACATCTTGCTATTGCAGTTATAGTATCTCCGGTTAGATAAGTTTAATATTTTTATATGTACACTAGCTGACCCAGCGAACTTCGTACCGCCCTAAAAATAGGGGTTGATTGTAAAGGGTTGAAAATTCAGGGTTATATGTATTTACTAATGCTGTATCATAAAAAAATAAAAAAAAAATCTAAAATTGAAAAAAAAAAAATTTAGGGGTGGATTACCCTTAACATTTAGGGGGATGAAAAATAGATGTTGTCCGATTCTCAGACCTACCCAATATGCACACAAAATTTCAAGAGAATCGGGAAAGCCGTTTCGGAGGAGTTTAACCACAAACACCGCGACACGAGAATTTTATATATTAGATTAGTATATACAGGAAGAATGAACGTTAAACTAAAAAACTTAAAAATATAATAACTAAAATATATTACTAAAACGAGTCCCTTTAGGCAAGGTTCCGAAGATACTGGCAGCGTTCCCCCTTTGAATAGCTAGACTAATTCTTTGTCCGAGGTAGCTGCCAGCTCTTCAGTCTCCAGTGATGTCTACTAACCTTTTTGATATTTCCTTAAAAAACCTCATAGCGCTAGGACCCCACGGACTGAGGGTCTCGACACCGAATGGGACAAAATCATATTCGGAGCCCCCTGTATTTGCATGCCTTTGCTTTTTCAGCCTTTTTTTTATTTTTTCTTCTCAGGTTTATATTATACGTTAAACCTCGTGACAAAAAAATCTAACTAATCTAAAGAAAATATAACTAGAAAAAATTCAACGCGGACCAGGCAGCAGACGGGACTTGAACCCGCACCCTTCACAATCCGGGCGAATGCATTGACCAATTATGCTACCGCGGCCCTCACGGACCGCGTCGAAATTCCTCTAGCCATTCTTAAGCTGCAAGGCAGCGCCATCTCTTCGCATTATAGGTAACCCACAATGTCAAATGAATACTTTTGCAACAAACAACATTTGAAAGAAGAAATAGCAATTTAAGTTATAAATATATATATTTTTAAGCATGTAACTGCTTGATGTTAAATTCTAAAGAAAATATAACTAGAAAAACCTGGGTTCAAGTCCCGTCTGCTGCCTGGTCCGCGTGGATTTTTTTCTAGTTATATTTTCTTAAGAAAAATCTTGTTATTGCAGTTATAGTATCTCAGGTTTATATTATACTATAAACCTCTTGTGACAAAAAAATCTAACTAATGTTGGAAATCTCTCTCCCTCTCAGTCAGTCTCACAACTCATTGCGTGATTTAGGAAAAAATTGCTGATACATTCGTACGGACGAATGATTTATTGCAAAACCCTAACTGGGTTATTGTTTGTAATTCATATTTTTCTAGAATAACATGTACAGAACAAGAAAGCAATAAATGTATAGAAACGAGACCTTTTTTTATTATTATTTCTATAAATTAATTTTATCTGTAATTTATTGTGACTAATTAATTTCGATTCCTTGTTGACCTTATTCGATTAAAACTCTTCTTATAATGCATTGATTTTAACCGGGACATTGTTGATTATATGTTTTTTTTTAAATCTTAGAAAGCTTTTAAAGGCTTTTTCATCGACAGTTTACCAGCATTTGTTGCTTCTATTCCATAACGCATGTGGTCTTCACCTATAATTGTAATAAAATAAATAAAAATAAAATTCATTTATTTCGAGCAACATAACTCATAATCATAATAACAATAATACACAATCACTCACTATACAAATAGGCACATGTCACTAAAAAAAAACACTAATTTAAATTCAATAATTTCAATCAAATAAAATAATTAAAAATCAAAAGTCAAAAGTCATTAAGCTTAAGTATTTTATCATTACCTGCTAGGTTGTTGTGTCAATGTTTATTATATTGGTGATCAAATAAATAAATAAATTATAAAATTATATTTTAAAAATTCCAGTGGGCCTTTCAACGGACATGATATGTGGCTTTTGCGGTGAGACCGAGGAAGAGTTTCAGGAAACGTTGTCTCTCATGGAAATTGTAGATTACAACGTGGCTTTCCTGTTTTCTTACAGCATGAGAGAGGTAAGATCATATCATTCTTTTATTTGTAGGTTCACGCGCCATTTCATGACAGCACATTAGCATTTAAATCATTATTTTTTGCCCTTTAACGGCCAGTGACAATAACCAGCCTCCCGCGCCCGGAGCATCAGCATCATCATCATCAGCCTCTTAATGTCCCCACTGCGGGGGCACAGGCCTGCCCTATGGATGGAATAGGGAGATTGGGCCAAGACCCACCACGCGGGCCCAGTGCGGATTGGCGGGTGCTAACGACTGCAGATGCAACTGGGGCCAACGGCTTAACGTCCGAAGCACGGAGGAACTCGAGATAGATTTTTTTAGATTTTTGGTCACCCATCCAATGACCGACCACTGCGAAAGTTGCTTAACTACAACGATCGCAGCCGAACGCGCTAACCACCTGCGCCATCGAGCCCGGAGCATGAGCACTACAATTTTAATTTGTTAGACGAAATAATCGCACTTTTATCGATAAGCAACGTCCCTATTGTTAAGCTCTAAGTTCGGCAGCACTAACTAGTGCTGTCAAAATGAACTGACTTAAGTGATGGGGGATTCCCCGCGTATGCGCGAGCGCCTGGCATTCTGTGAATTATAACCTTGTGATGTGGTTGTGTCTACTTAATAAAGTTAATTTCTGAATTAAACCGAGTTTTATCTAACACATTATATCACGTTTTTTATCGCGACTAACAGTCAAACTCCATATTGATTGAGCATGATAAAAATGCTCATGCTAAGAGGGCTGTAAAAGTTAAGGATAAACTGGTTCCATTTCTTAGCAACAGCCGTAATTACTCTAGTCTTCTCTTCTGCAGTCTTTATAATAAATTAAATTAATTACTTTTGTAAAAAAGATCTTGTAGGACTATATCTCTTACTGGAGTTTTATCAAACCGACCCGTTAAGAGACAAGAATAAATAGTCTCAGCTGAAGCGTGAAGTAGCTAAGGAGATAATCAACTTCCGCAGTGATCGTTCATAGAATGGGTTACCATAAATTTAATAGAATAGGGATGATGACTAATTTTTTTTCTTCGTTTATCAGGTAGATTTTCAAAAAGTATTGGACACGTATTTTTATTTTTTTTCACATAATATAAACATTGCAGAGATATATTGATTTGAAAATTCGCATGACGTCACGTTTTACAATTAAACAAGTACAATTTTCACTCAAAAGTGACGTCACGAGACCCTACTCCCAAACTTTGACGCGCTATAACTTTGTCATTTTTTGGTTGATTGCCCAAAGAAAAAATATGTGTCCATTATTTTTTGATCATCTAACTGACGGACTAAATTGAATTTCGTTTACTGCACCCCGTCATCACCCCTATTCAAAGGCACGTTAAGAGGGGCAGCGCGCTATTTTTTTTCCATACTAACTTTCTCGACTGATTCCTCCTTGTGTTTTATCACTTATAAAATTATTTTTCATACATAATATATAATTTTACTCATTTTATGCTCCTATGTCTTCCATTTTCCGATAACTTTTATTTCGAAGAAACTAGCAGCCCTCGAAAAATGGTCAAAAATAAACAAATTTTTATCATCACTTAAGACGTCTAGTTTAATAAGCATTTAGAAAAAAACAAACATAGAGGCATAGTATAACTACTTATTATTCTTTGTGTAAAATTTCTTTTACATAAATCTTATTTTCGAGGAGGAAATCGTTGAGATCCGAACCTCGAATTTTGCAATTTTCAGCGTTAACTACTGTTGTCCCTATCGCACGGTATTTGCCGATGTGTAACAGCAATAATTTTTTCAAATACCTATTTTTCAAATGTGTCTCAGCTCGCGTCCGCTTCTAAGCTGTTCTGCATCTGCAGTCATTGGTACTAGCCAATTCGCACTGGGACTTCATTGTGGTTTATGACCCTTTATCCATATTCCATCCATAGGGAAGACCTGTACGCCAGCAGTGGGAATATCAATGTGGTGATGGTGATGAGATATACCCATCGCCACATTTGATTTCGTATTACTTGGTCTTGAGCATAAAAGCAATTCTCTACTATTCCATCTGTCGTCTACAATAGTTGTCAGATCTTCTATGTCTTCAATATGAGGCTTTTATTATCAGCATTGAAAAGTAGAGGAGCTCGATGGCGCAGGTGGTTACCGCGTTCGGCTGCGATCGTTGAAGTTAAGCAACTTTCGCAGTGGTCGGTCATTGGATGGGTGGCCAAAAATCTTCTATCTCGAGTTCCTCCGTGCTTCGGAAGGCACGTTAAGCCGTTGGTCCCGGCTGCATCTGCAGTCGTTAGCACCCGCCAATCCGCACTGGGCCCGCGTGGTGGGTCATGGCCCAATCTCCCTACTCCATCCATAGGGAAGGCCTGTGCCTCAGCAGTGGGGACATTAATAGGCTGATGATGATGATGATTGAAAAGTAGAGACTGCGACAATTATCTATTTATCTGAAATATGTGTCACATGCTAAAAATCCCATCGTAATAAATTTATATGTTTATGTGAAATATTGCCACATGCTAAATGCCATCGTGATCTACAGACGCTTGCGACACCAGAACACGTATACTTGACTAGTGTAAGCAGTGGAATTTTTCCACAAGCTGTGTTTTTACTTAAATTATCATTACGCGCGGAAATAAATAGCGCAAAAACATTTGGTCATTAGCCCGTATACGGGTGCAAGAAAGACTTTACTTGAATTCGGGCACCAGAAGCAATATTCACACTGGAATATGGGTTGGAAGACGGTGTCGATTAACCAAAACTAACGTGCTCGACTCCGTTCATGTCGTTTACCCGAATTACATATAGCCTATAAAATGAATACCCAATCCATTTGCACTCTTATTCGGGCTAGTCGCCAAGTGTAATAGCGCCTTTAAAAAACATATTTCTTTAACCATCCAGAAAACAACAGCATACCGGAGATACAAAGATGACGTTCCCGAAGAAGTTAAAAGAGATAGACACTATCGCATGATAGAACTTTACAGGCGTAAATGTCAAATATTAAACGAAGCCGAAATAGGGAACACACACTTAGTACTAGTAGAAGGTTCTGCGAAGAAGACTGGCCAAATTATGGGCAGGAACGAGATGTATTTAAAAGTGCTTTTTGACCAAAGCGAGATTTTGAGCGAAGATGGCGGCAGAAGGAAAGCGAAGCCGGGGGATTATGTAGCTGTGAAGATTGTAGGAGCAAGATCTTCTGTACTTAACGGTGTACCTCTGTTTCATAGTAGTGTTAGGGAATTTTATAGAGATGTAGGTTGGGGTGAACGGACCAAGCTTCGAGTTTAAATTTAAATCAGATAAACAAATAATAAAATGTTTTTTGTAAATAATAAAGTGTTTTCTTTTTTAGAAATAGAACCTACACTGACATTGAATATAAATAGTTTAATGCCTCATCGACAAAGCAGAGGTGATAAATACGACTTTGATATTATATCTTAAAAGAAAAACAACTATAATAGTTTGTGACACTTGAAAAGTGCAATTTTATTAGAATTATTATCAATAATTACAAAATTATCAATGCATTATAAAATATTTTACATAGTGTAACACAATCAATAAATATGTTATATTTTTACATAGAACATACAAAACTTACGACTAATTACAATAAATCCAAACACGTTATTAGATAGAGAAAATAATGTAAAGCTTTGTTTGATCAAGTATTATATTTCTATATAATTAGTTACTACTGACAGTCACTTATGAACAAATATCCGGTTTTAACAATAAAATGGGTTATTGTTTGCAATTACAAAATATGCGAAAATACACAAAACTGACATAATGACAATCCAATTAAAAAAAATAGTGAGCATAAATACTAATGTGAATGTTAAAATATTTCACAATAGCCTTAAGATACCCAAACAGATACTGATACCTAAATTATCATATAATTAAATATTAAATTCTACTTAATAATAACATTATGTGGCATGGCATCCTTATATTTATAAAACAAAGATTTGTACTTATTTTTTTATTTAGACTACAATGTTAGTTAAGTGTAGGTTGTGAGTATAAAACATGAGTATTTTGTACTTTAATTTCTACGTGAATAAAACAATGAATCCACATCAGATTTGTGAAATGTGATTATGACTTAGATTTCAATAAGTAAAGAGTGTGGTAGAAACAAATTTACCAACTTGAACAACTAATCCCTTATCAATTCAAGGCCTAAATGTTATTTATGTGTTTAAAATGGTGGGAAGCCTTTGTTGATGCATTTTACTGTATTTTTGTAAAGCCTTTGATTCCATGGATATAACGTAATTTACTAATGATTTTTTTATTAAACCGTGCGTCTACTGGACCATTGACTGTTATAGTTTATTACTATATAGTTATTGGATTCTCTAAGAATGGTTAAAGTGAGGGCACAGGGTTAACTGCAAATATGGAATACTTCAGGGTTCATCTCGTGGCCCTTTTTTATTTTTGTATAGGTACAAGCTTAACTATAATATGTTGCTTATTTCAAGGACACTTTGTTTTTTTTATTTTTACAAAGGAATGTGAATTTATTCTTTCGTATCAAAGATTTGTAGATAATAACATAAAATTTTTACCGTGCTCGTGAGACGGCTAACGTCCTATTAGACTTGCTATTGATGTTTTATTATTTATGTAGGTTACTAACTTTTTAAATGTGCATGCATTATTTGGCATGTGCGAGCATCATAAAAGTGTTTCACAAAGGCACAATATTATCACATTTACACGATTAATTTCACACCAAGCTAGAAGCACCAATCTGCGTGCCTATTTTTCCACCTGACATAACATCTATTCTCTGTCCAGATAAGTTATCTGACGCTGAGCATTCCACATGGCCAGAGAGACTCGGCGAAGGTCCCTGTGAACTACCGTATACCTTCGTACTGTACCCTGAGTCGTTATGAGATTCTCTGTCCGTTTGGCTTTGAGTTTCGGTGAGATGGGTGTTTATAGCCAAGGACTGCAGACGGGTGTGCAGTAAATTGTGGTCTGCAGCTTTCCTCACTCCATGCGAATTCCCCCTAAAGTTCGGGTACACTGGTGAACGGTTACCGTAGTAACCACCTCGAAATTGATCATTCTGGTTAGCTATTTCAATTTCAGTGTTCTGATCCAAGTGGTCGCTGTAGCATTGTGGAATACGTTCCATCTCTCTGAGAATGTGATCTTGCATCATCGCGTCAAATACTCCAGTCTGGTGATGATACAAAGGGTTTCGGTTCCGACCTTGAACCGGTGCATGAGGTAGCCCCGTTTCATTGTAATCGTACCGATTGGTTTGACAAGGATTGCATTGCGGCACAGGGAGACCGTTTTCAACCATTTCCCTGTAAGGCATCTGATGGTGGACCTGCCTGTTAGGTATATCATGAAAATAAGCGTCTTTAGGTATTGCCCTTATGTCGTGAGGATAAGGATTTTTTTGACTTTGTACTTGCGGAGCTGGCGAAGGAGATTTATTGGACATCGTTTCGAAATTTGGCATCGGTAATGTTTGCAGAAGGTTTGTGTTCCTCATGGGGCCGGGTTGGTTTGTAGTCCTTATCGGATTGTCTTCTTCGTCACTGCTCTCGGAATTGTTGCCATTATCCTTCGGTGGAGTTTGGAAAGTCTTTCTCGTTGGGAATGGTATGAGGTTATGCAAGCTAAAGCGTTTGCTTTTCGGTGGTTTCTCTTTGAGCACGGGGGCTGGTCGTTGAGGTTGCTGCGGCATCTTCAGTATCCCGGGACAGGCCTGAACGGGAGCCTGAATTGGCTCCTCGCACATTTGTACGGGTGACATTCTTCTCGGTAAAGGTATAGTTTCAGGAGATTTACATCGCTGTTGTTTGTGTTCTACCTGCGCTACTAATTCTTGCACAGACTTTCTGGGTTCTCTGACTATATTATTTTCTTCTCTTGTACAGTTACCTTGTTTACGTAGTTTGACGTAACCGTCTTGGGCTATATCCAATGTTTTGTTATTGTTTCTGCCTATTACGTCTGACATTTCTTTCTCCAACATGACTCTTTTTCGAATGTCATCTGCTGTTCTCTGAAGAACTTGGCTTTTCCAAACTGGGACATCTCTAGGACACTCTATTTGGGTTCTATGTAAATTATCTCCATCAGAATCACTCGTCTTGTAATCAGAGTGTCTGTTGCTGCTACTGGGGGACATAACATTTATTTGACGACTAGGTGACACAAATCTTTCATTATGGTCTTGTACTTCCATTGATAAAGGAGACTGAGAAACAGAAATTTTATTGGCTTTGACGTGAATTTCGGCTGTAACGTTTTGCACATGATTATCAAGGACTGCATTTGTATGAGATGCTAACATATGAGGAGACCGTGAACTCGTGCTCGGACCGGCGTCCAACTGATCTGTGCTTCTGGAGTTTTTAAGTATATGTTTCCGCCTCGGAGATGGAGGTGATCTTATGCTATCCAAAACCTCAGTACTTTTCGACGTCGCTTTACTCTCATATAAGTCTTTGGCATTACTATCATAATGTTCAGAATTTTTATTGAAGTCTTTTATTAGCCTGTTTACTTTATTCCATTCTTCTGTATGTGCATCGAGGAGTTCTAAACTTCTAGTTCTTTTCAATGGAGGGATGTCCAAAGAGCCTTTGGGACTAAAATCGAGTTTTCTCACTCTTTCGGAAGCTCTGAAATTCATACCACGCGTCAACCAGTGTTCTAGATGTTGGTGCCTTTCTTTACACATAGCCCTTTCGGCAGCGACGAACCTCGTCAGTTCTGAAATTTGACCCTGCGTCTTCATTTCCAAATCTGTTACTTTCTGATCTATCTTTTCGTGAGCTCGGTCTATGTGCCTCTTTAAATCTTTTTTATCTTCGTTCAGTTTATCTTCCATGTGTTTGAAGAACGGAGCACAATAGCACGTGTAACCGGCGCCAATGGGTCCCTTCTTGATATTTCCTGCGAGATCCAAGTAATATTGCTCGCCTTTCTTCAAGGGTTCGGTGGGGAGCGAGCTCAGCTTCGGTTTCGGGAAATATTTCGGATCCGGGTAGTAGTGGCAGCCGTACGGCGACCACTGTACATTCTGGGGTTGTTGTTCGAAGTGAACATTCTTTTTTTTCTTGTCTTTGCCTTTCTTCTTCGCGTCGTCGGGTTCGTCGACGCTGCGCTCCTTGCTTTTATCTCGCTTGTCTTTCTTCTTGGGTTGTTTGGCTACTGGTGTGTTGAGGATGTTGATGATTTCGTCCAAACCCTTTCTGGTGGCGATGTCCCGGGCGGTTTCTCCCTGGTGGTTCTTGAGTGCCTTGTCGCAGCCGGCCTCGAGGAGTATGCGCGTGAGCTTGCGGCGGCCCATGGCGGCGGCGATGTGCAGTGCGGTGTCGCCATTCTTGTTCTGCTCGCACACGCGGCACTGCGCCGAGATGAGGATTCTGGTGACGCCCGCGTGACCGTACCGCGCCGCCGTGTGGAGGGATGTATCGCCATACTTTGAACATTGGAAAATGAAAGATGAAAACATATCAAATAAACAAAACTTATAGCTTAATAAATAAATACTTTGTGTAGACATCAGATAGCGTAGCTTTTGGACATTCATGAGTGCTGGTAACAGTCTAAACTGATAAACATTTTTTTTTATTTATTTTGACAAGTAATGATGATTATCATTACCAAAGTTCACGCTACATCTAGTAATGAAATGGGAAGTACTTTGTCTAAGTTGGACTCCGTTCCAACTACTAATAGAATCACATCCACCACCTCTTTTTGTTAAACTCCGTTGGTCCCGGCTGCACCTGCAGTCGTAAGCACTCACCGTTCTGTACTGGGCTGACGTGGTGGGTGTGGGTCATGAATGACATTTTCCCTATTTCCTCTCCTTTAAAAAAGGCGTGAAGAAACAACATGCAGGCCGGTTAGGTGAGGATGGCTGGTGTGGCAGGTAGAACTGCTGTATGTACATGTTATCTTCACGTCTGGACTTCACCGTCACATAACATCAGGCGGGGTGGAGTCATTTGACGGAACTATTCATTAATAAAGGAAACGCCTGTGTTTAAACGACGATGTGCAGGTGCCGGACATTATATGCTGACGGCATGCTGACACCTTAAATTAAAACAAAAAGGGTAGATACGGTACGCTCCTACTTGCATCAAACAAAAACTGATCCCACGGCAGCGCGAACGGGACGGCGAGATCCGCGTCACTGCATTACCGACCCGAACGAAACAGCACGTTAAGTTTCAACGGCAGCGCGAACGAGACGGCGAGATCCGCGTCACTGCACTACCGACCAATCACGCGACCAGTACTCGACGTCACTACCGAATAAGATTCAAAACATACAGCATTTTTTATGAAAAATTATATTTTATAGTACTTACGAATGAAAAGTGATGCCGTGGGTTTTATTTTTAGTTCTTGAGCAATTTGGGCACATACTTAGGCATTGTTTTATCATATAAACACAAAATATTATCAATATTTCTTTTTGGTGTTCACGTTGAGGCTAGTGCCGTATCTTCCCTTTTTGTTTTAATCTAAGGCTGACACTCACGTTGTTCTGCAAGTCTGGCGGCGCGCCGGCCAGCAGCAGCTCGCGGCAGGACTGGTTGTGCCCGTTCTGGCAGGCGAGGTGCAGGGGCCGGATATTATATGCTGACGACATGCTGACACTCACGTTGTTCTGCAAGTCTGGCGGCGCGCCGGCCAGCAGCAGCTCGCGGCAGGACTGGTTGTGCCCGTTCTGGCAGGCGAGGTGCAGGGGCACGAATCCGCCCGCGTTGCGCGCGCGCAGCTCGGCGCCGGCGCCCGCCAGTAATGATACGCAGCGAGAGTAGCCCTTCCACGCTGCCTCGTGTATAGCCGTGTTGCCGTGCTGTGGGGATACATCAGTCAATGAAATAATAATAATAATATTCTTTATTGTCATACACCTCACAGGATATACAAGACATTAAACATGACTGTGAAATATTATAATCATTTACAGAGCCGGACCGTGAGTTTTGGGAGCCCTCGGCTAATACTACTTAGGGGCCCACCTAATTACTCAAAGTATAGAAAAAAATGAGACAGTAAAATATTTAATTTATTTTATAATATATCGTGCCTTAGTGTTATACTACCGTTAATAAATTGACAAATTACAAAGCAACCTTTCTGAAAAGTGCAGAAATGGCAATTTTTTTAATTTGCTTTTTACATTCTACATGTAATAACATAAATAGGGTTATATTCAAAAATGTATTTTTTTCTACATTGAATGTACATCTAATCTTTTAATGTACAGTTTTAAAGAAAAGTATTTTAATTTTCTTTCTTTGGTGAATCACTAGTTCAACTTTAGACATCTATTTTGAAAATATTATATCTGCTATGGGAATTCATCGATTTCTGCCTGTCTGAATTTCCGATCTGTTTAATTTAATAAAATTATGTATTATTTCGCTTTATCGTCTATTTTTGACTTTGACTTGAATTAGCAGGGGGCCCCTGGAATCCACGGGGGCCTGGGCTGAGACCCAAAAAGCCATATTGTAGATCCGGCCCAGATCATATAAATAAAAATCGAAGGTGGTATTTATTTATTGCATGTCATATTACATTCAAGATGGTACATTAAAAATTATGCTGGATAAATATGTGACGCCCTGCAAGGGCATAGCAAATATAAAGCCAGAGAGCTCATTAAATTACATTATTATGCTTTGTTCACATTTCATTTTTACAAAACAAACAATTCAAATTTATAAAATAGATTTAACAATGGCAATAAAGAATAATAATAACAATAATTTCATTTTTATGGTATTGTTAGGTTCAACAGTCTGTTATTTATAAAGTGAAGGTCACTTCCGTAGATGGGTTCTCCAGTTCGACCCGTGAATTCGCTATGACCCCCATTTCTTCTTTTAAGTGTTGCCCCACCAAAAATGCCTCAAAGGTTTTCACATTGGTGTTTGCCTCCTGCAGGTAGCGAGTCGAGGTATTTCACCTGGTATTCAATCACTCACTTGCATTAAAATGAACCTTCTTTAAGAGAAGTATATAGCGGATTTTCCACTCGAATGGGAGCGCCCGTCTGGGGAAGTAACCTCCACCTTGAGAAGACCACAGTAAAATAACACTACCTTTTTGTGGTGTTATGTTTCTGTCGGTGAATGAGGTTCCAGGACTTAACGGGTAGGGGACCCGACCTATTTTTTTTTGTTACGCAGGCAAAAAATGCTGTTTACAGACAACGGCGCCTTTTAGAGGTACACCGCCGAACGGACCTCACACCTGGCTCCAGCAAGTCTTACGAACCCCCCAGTGGCTGCCCACCGAGGACCCCGCAACTCTTACCGGCGTTTTACGCCATAATATCCGCTAAAAAACCCTGCGAATACCTTCTACGCTGCTTAATGAGAAGCCGCGGGGTCCCCATTAAGGGATTCTTCCGCGACTCCGCACCCAACAGCTTCCCGGCCTAGCCGGGGCTCCACTGCAAGGGTCTCCCGAGGTATTGCGGGGACCCCGCAGACGTGCGCAGGTAGGCCCGCGCGTGGGGGGCTAAGTACGCGGCCTACCTGGGCCGGGTACTTGCGCTTACCCTTGTAGCTCCCTTCGCCGCCCCCCCCCTTTGCAGGACAGAACTGCCATTGGGAGGGCCGCCGTCCCCGGGGGAGCGGGGGGGGGGGGGGGGCGTAGTTCTCCCCGTCCCTTTCCCCTCGCCGTCGATGCAGGGGCAGGCACCCTCTCTCCCGGTCGTCCACGTCTCCTCGCCCCTTCTCCTAGGAGATGAGGGGGGAAACGCGGGCGACACGGGTAGGGGACCCGACCTGACTCCATATCAGGGTAGGCAATGGCGCGTGTGATGTTTTTTATATCGCAAGTGTCTATAGACTACTTTGGCCGCTTATCATCAGGCGGGCAATTAGCTCGTTTGCCACCCTTTTAAAATAAAATATAAATTGCTAAGTAAAGTGACAAATTTTATTTCTGATAAAATACAATTCCATTTACTTAACTATCGTCAAATATCGCCCATTATGGTGCACAAAGGTGCCCATTATGCTTGCAGCATTGCCACTCTGGATGGCAATACCGGAGACCCGGAGCGAGGGTAATCAGTTTTTTGCCTGAGTCGGTGGCCCACAAAATTGTGTGAATATAAATTACACAATAAAATAAAGGTGACTTACCAAATGGTCTTGCTTGTTGGGGTCGGCCCCTTGCTGCAGCAGTAGGCGTACCGCGTCCACGTGGCCGTCGGCAGCCGCACGCTGCAGCGCCGTGCAACCATTCTGAGAGAAAGAAAGAAAACATGTTATTGGCCTTCACAGCATGAATTTACATTGTGGGTTGCCTACAATGCGAAGAGATGGCGCTGACTTGCAGCTTAAGGCTAGGAAATTTCGACGCGGCCAATAGGGCCGTGGTAGCATAATTGGTCAGTGCATTCGCCCGGATTGCGAAGGGTTCGAGTCCCGTCCGCTGCCTGGTCCCCGTGGATTTTTTTCAAGTAAAAACTTTTCTTTAGATTTAAACATCTAGCAGTTAAATGCTTAAAAATAAATAAAAACAGCATGAATTTAGAAAAACAAAATGGTTATAATAATAAAGCATAGACAATAAAAAAAGCGAGCGAGCCTTACAGTAGTCGCGTATGATGTGTAACATTTGAAATCTCACCTTATATTAATGAAAAAAGAAATAACACCTACTACAAAAGGAATAAGCCATTTGAACATTATGTTCTAAAAGCAAATCAAATAGCGCGAGCTTTCGCGACTTCCTGTTACACACTTCCGTCGCATTTCACTAAATCACTCCCTCAAATTGCAGGTAAGCGAGAGGAAAGATGTTACACATCAAAAACATGGAAACTAATTACTCGGTGCGTGCAGTGTAAGGCCAATAAGACACTGATTCAGCTATGCTCTGTGGTAAACGCTTTTGCGATACTACAACAGAGCTGGTTACTAGCCAGCGCCTTATGGCAAAGATGATTTTCGAATGCCGGAATAAAGCGAAACAATAACAATAAAGAACATAGGTAGGTAATTATACATTATATCGGTATACATTTCTGTTCAATAACTCTAGTATAATGCGATTCAACTAAGAATAGGACAGACTGGGCGCCATATTGTGACTTCAAAGCTGTCAATTCAAACCAAATGGGTAGAGTGAGCAAAAAAAGTTTTTATTTAATCTTTTAATAATCAAATAATAATAATAATATTAATTAAATTTAACAAAAGTTCTAAATCGAGTTTTTGAACTTCGCAACTTAGTGACATTTGGTTGACGATTTAGGTTATCAATCATTCATAGCCAAAGCTCAATAAATGAAAACAAATCGACCAATATTAATTATCAATATTTATTATTGTTTGTTTACAAATGTTTGGTTTTTATTCTATAATTAATTAGCTGAGTGCTAAAAAAGGGTTCCAAGATTTTTTTGCAAACCGTACTTTTCAAGCGACATTTGACAGATGGAGGTCATTGACTTTACTATTCTTATTTGAATCGCACTATACACTAAACTATAATGCCGGCGCTCCACACAGCCACCCGTATCCGCACATTCTGCAATCACAACGGATAAACACTGTGTAAAGAGAATGCGATTGAGAATTATTGTGATCCCAAAAATACTACACTGATTAATTTAGGAAAAGTAAGTTTAAAACATAGATAAATGATTGGTCTCGCTGTCGAGTGAAGCGAGACCAATCATTCATCTATGGTTTAAAACTAAAACCCGACTAAGTACTGAAAATTATGCTTGAAAGTGAAATTTTCATCTTCTATGTAGGTTTAGACTTCTAACTATTATACAATACATATTTATCGTCTATTAGATAAACAAGTTACACGTAATATTTAATACATTCTTTAAGATGACGACCTCCGTGGCCGAGTGGTTTGTACACCGGGTTTCACGGTGTCGCCGACTCGAGAGGTCCCGGTGGGGGCTCATGTTTGTGTGATGAATACGAGCATTTGTACTCCAGTCATGGATGTTTAATATAAATATACTTATATATGTACTGTAAATGCATTCTATCCGTTACCCTAGTATCCTATAACACAAGCACCTACAGTGCTAACTTTGAGGCTATGCTAATTGGTGGGAGTGTTGGGAATATTAGTTATTTATTTATTAGTGACATACCTAGCTTCCTATATATATTACTATATTTATTTAATACAAAAAGAGGACACATTTTTAGCCGATAAGTGTCTCGACTAAGTTGGACAAAGCCTTGCCCAGCGCCATATTAGCTGTGTTATGCACCCGATCAAATCAAAACCAAATCACGTACAAGCAAGTGATTGTAGTGCTGTGCGTTTTTATCACGTTTTATCCCTAGCGCACAGTTAATTGACAGCTAAGTTTCATGACAAGAGAAGGTGTACAAATCAAAATGACTAGGTGCCGGAAAGAAGATTGTTAATTATATCACGATACTTTTTCATATTTCACTGTAATGAAGCGCTTAATCTAAGTGCCCTTAAATAGTTTATTGGTGTAGAAATTAGCACCATATATTCTTAAAGGTGCGACTGAATAAGATACAGATAAATATACTCGGAAACAATAGTATTAGAAATTTTATGATATATTCCGAAACCAAAATTTTTGAAGTGAAAACTTCTTTAGCGCCGTTGTACACTTTTTTTGTATGGGAAAAAAATGTTAAAACTCGCGTCAGGACACGTGGCGTAAGACGAATACAATAAAATTGGAAAGGTTGTTGACTTTCAATATATTGGACGAAACATAGTCATATTTTATCGTATTATAATAATAAGTCTCTATCTAGGACGTCCACGTGGAAGGTTTAATTACGGAGAAAATACATTTTTTTACAATAGATGTCGCTAGGTGCGCTTAAATGTGATTCATGTAAGTTGATTTTTCTGAGAGATAAACTTTTTAATGTAATATAAATTGTCAGTTTTGTGTACGATAGCGCAATAAATAAATATTGTATTACCACATAAATGATAGTACTCTTATATTGATAATTAAAGCAATTCGTACAAAATTATTCCCTAACCATTCCAAAATATCAAAAATGCACAACGTTAATATTGCAAGTTTTCACTTCTGCCGGCACTACCGGAGTGCAACCCTTCGTTTTTTTTTGTTACTTTTTGGTAGTAATGCAGTACATACTATCCGCCCAAAATAGCTTGAAAGTTGTATAGCAACTTGCCACTGAGTTGCTGATTCGGAAATCAATGGCAATTATGCAACTTGCGACCACAATGCGACTGTCACTGACAACCGCTTTTTGTGTGAAATCCCATGCAAATCACAATAATTATGAAACGGACGTAAGTATGTGGTATTATTTACTAAATCTAAAGTTTTTACGCCAATTTGAGCGCCTTTTTTTTCCTCTCAATTCGGTGGTAACCATGGCAACTAGTCGAGAAGTGTGAAAGCTGTTTTTAAGTATTCTGTAAGATGCAAACTTACGATCTCATTTTATTCGCATTTCTGACAAATGTCAAATATCGAATACTGGCTGCTTTTACAGACATAGAGTCTGTGCGGAAAGAGAATGGGATTTAGATTGGAGGGCGCTGTAGTGTTTTTCTACCGTATTTGTAAGGTTTTACCCCTTTTAAACATGATTAAATACAAAAAACCGCAAGAAATCACAACACCAAACAAATCCGTATCAATACAAAACTTTGTCGTTATTGCTGGGTTGGATTGCCAAATAAAAATCTTAGTGTTAGTTCCGTTTTTCGCCACGCCCATTCTCTTTCCGCACAGACTCTAGCTACATTTTGCCATGTAATGGGGTAATGCATATCAAACTAATGTATAAAATGGCACCTACCGAAACCGGAAGTGAGATTTTATTTTACAGAATCGCCTACGGTCGGAAAGTTGGCCTTCGATATTTTGTATGAGAATGTGTGCGAGGTTGTTTGAGATTTTGGGCATATATGCATATTTTAAGTCAATCAGATAACTACTGGGCGCAAGTTGGTTGCAAATAAAATATGGTTGAGCGACGCGATGTCTGGTTCATGCGTCATGCTCGTGAACGGGTGCTGCCAGCGGAGATGAGTCTGCCCTAACTACTTTGATATTTAAGATGTGAATGTTTAATTACACCTATTATAGAAAACTCTGTTTGTATTTATACTGTGTAACACAGCTATCAAAATGCAGGTGAACAATTAATGTATAATCACACATTATGTAATGAAAGGTGACTTCATGAATCATCTCTGAAGTCATTTTTCAACTTGACGACTCTGTAAATGATGAAATAGGGAGAAAAAACAGCCCTTGCTGAGTTTCTTGCCGGTTCTTCTCAGTACAAGGTCTCCCGCCCGTAGATTTACGAACCGATGGCGTAGCTTCTAGACATTCATATGCGCTTGTAACAGCCTAAACTGAATAAATGATTATGATTATGAATAAATTAATTTATAATAAGTACAGAGCACTAAATCACTATTCAATGGTGGATTATTCGAAAGAGACCAAAGACGTTTAACGATTTATTTAAACTTGAATAAAAATGTTTATCATTCGTACATACCAACTGATACAATTGACTTATAAAGTCCTCCCTGTCAGTGCGCTCTTTGAACATAGACATATTTACGATCCAATTAAATCACCTACAAATCTTTTCAATGGCCTTACATAAATCTTAGTAAGGGTTCACCAGAGAATATTATATAATATAATCTTGGTTGGAACGAAGTAACTAGGTTTGCAAAGTCTATATCGCATACAAATAATAGGTTAATTTATGTAGCAACCCGCCAGGGAATCGAATCTAGACGCGGAAAGTCCCTAAATGGGGATCCCGCGGTTTCGCACTAAGCAGCTTAGAGGGTATTCGCAGGGGTTTTTAGCGGATATTATGCCGTAAAGCGCCCGTAAGAGTTACGGGGTCCTCAGTGGGCAGCCACTGTGAGGCCTCGTAAGGTTTGCGGGAGCCAAATGTGAGGTCCGTTCGGCGGTGTGCCTCTTAAAGGCGCCGTCGTCTGTAAACAGAGTTTTTGCTTGCGTCACAAAAAAAAGGGAATCGAATCTAATATCGCAGACGTTCAACTCGTAAATCTAATGGCCACGAAGTCCGCCAATGACTTTGAAACAATTCCTACCTGCTCACTGTCACAGAAGATTAACTATTTTGTGACAACAATAGGAACTCGGTGTACGCCTACGTAATGTGTCACAACCACTGTTTAAGTCTAAATATAAATTTATTATCTGATGGCACGGTCAATGGCATTTAATTTGTTTCGTGAGCAAGCCATTGTCCACGTAATGAACTATCACGACTGATCTAGTCGCCGGCTCTGTTACAAGCGGGCTTTTAATTAATAGGTATTTCCACAAAAAAACTTTATAAGTTAAAAACTATAGTTTACTTTGTGTTAAAGGAAAATCACTACCATTGTGACGTAGATAATTTGCTTTGTTTTAATGTATGCTTAATTAAGATTTTACTCAAGGAAGAACAGTTTTAGGGATCCCTAAAACTGTTCTTCCTTGAGTAAAATCTTAATTAAGCAAATAGAATTCTCAAATAAGCTACTCGGCACTCTATTGAGTCTCTCAACACACACCACAGCCACAAACGCCGCCACGAGAAGCTAGAAGCTGCTACTAAAGTGGCTGAAGCGCGCGACAGCGGCCGACTAAGGTAAGGGAGACAGGGGTGGGGAATCGCGCGAGTGACGTGTGGCGGCGCGGCGTTTTGTATCGGCGGCGCATTAGGTGGCCGGTGCGGGCCACAAGAAGCGAGCAACGACGATTTGTAGCGTGTGGCGGCCACCGGCGTACCGTGTGTGGCGAGTCCATATAAAATGTATGAAAACTACAAGAAATAAGCCGGTGGCGGCGTTTTGTGGTTGTGGTCGGTGGCCCGTGTTCGGTGACACTATGGATCAGGAACTACTGCTCCTTGTTGTGTTGGATAGTGCATTTATAAAGAAAGGCTATAGGATATATAATATAACGCTACGAGCAATAGGAGCGGAGCATCAATGTATTTTTTTGCAAAAACGAAAAATATCAGCCATTTGAGAACTTCCGTTGCGTAAAGATCAAAGGATATTAAATATCGCTGTAAAAATTACACAAAAATCATGTACCTATGACAGATTTGTAAATGTGAAAATGTCCGCGACAGCATAATTATGTCTATCTTTTTAGGAGTGACCCACTATGCCTATGTAACATTTTCCTCAAATTAATGCCGGTGAAACCTTAGATAAATGATAAAAACGCAATCTAATAACTTTATATGAAATGAAATGAAATTTATTTATTTACACAAAACAGAGTAGATACATTTTGGTGGTGATTTTCATTTAGTTCGTCCATTTTGTCAACGACAGGGCATGTGAATGTCAAACTTAATTTAATTCTAAAATGTATAGGTACTCATGTCATTTTACTTATTCTATTTTAAGTCAATTTTCATTTCTAAATATTCTCTAACTGAGTAAAAACATTTCGTTATTAGCCACATTTTAAGCTTCCTTTTAAATATAGGCAAACTAAGCTCCGTTATCAAGCGTGGTAACTTATTATAGATTTTTATATAATTCGGATAGCAGTTCTTATTGTAATATTGAGTACGCATATTGGGCAACATCAATCTACCACGATGTCTCGCTAATCTGCAGGTATCTGTGTTTTAAAATTTAAAATTGATAAAGGATACAAAAAATTAACAACTCACAAGGCCTCGTTAAGACGACATCGCTGAAGTGCAATAGAGATGGTGAAGAGGACAGCAAAGGAAACGGCGGTTAGGGGAAAGTTTTATATTATTAAATACAAATATTACAGAAATATAAGGAAAAGACAGTAAGTATAAACAATTATAAAAGAAGCAGACGAGAGTTTGACAAGAATAGAGTTAGGACGGCATGGCATAGGCAAGCGTTAATTTAAATATTTACAATCAAAGAGTCTGTCTTCGACAGATGGGCAAAAGCTTATGACAAACAAATAAAACGTTATGATTTTAGAAAAGAAACTCCTATTCGATTATACTAAACTTTCTGAATAGATTCAAAGTCGGATAAAGCACTTGTTGGAGCACATCGTACAACTGAGGCGGAAAAGCAGAACTTTTTATTGGAATTTTATATTCCAATATAAAAAAAATATATTGCTAATTTGATTAATGAATTGTGCATGTCTTAATCTCATTACAATTGTTATTAATGAATTCTATGTTTAATGTAATTATTAAAATTTTGAATTTTTAATGTATGGTTGCTGTGTACTTGTATAAACATGCTGTTTGTACATGCTAGTGGAGTTTAGGCGATTATCACACGGCACCGCGCACCGCCGCGGAGGGCGGTGGCGGTAACGCGGATTTCGCAGCGGTGCACCGCGCGGTAAGGCGGTTTACGCGCCTGTACGCGCGGATGGATTTAACGCGGTTTTGACCAGTTTGATTGCAGACGCTGGCAAGAATGGACGCTGAAGTGGTGGCAGCAATCTGGCTTTTATGGCGCAGAAAGAAAAAAATAAGAAGATACTGGGTTCATCCATTTTTACGAAGCAGAACTCTAAATGGGTCATTCATGTTATTCTATAAAAGTTTGAGAAAATACGAAGATAAATTTTTTAATTATACGCGAATGTCCACTTCTTCATTTGATTATTTGTTAGCAAAAATAAGGAAAGCAATTTCTGGAGTAAATACAAACATGCGTCCTTGTATTTCGCCGGAAGAAAAGCTTCTTGTGACCTTGAGGTAAGTGAAGAAGAAAATACACATTTTTCCATTTTATATTTTTATTACTTTAAATAATCAGTCTGTCAATTATTCTTGTTATTAAATCTACCTCAGTCTTTTTTGAAGATTTTTTAGATTTTGTACCTACATCTAATTATAATTAGTAATTTTAATTTCTTATTTAGTAATCAAATCACAGTTATTTTTTCTTTATCACAGGATCAACCACGTATTTATATGTCTACCTTAAACTAATTAACATAATCACAGCTTTCTATCTTCCGCACAATGAGCATAATTTCTTATTTAGTAATCAAATTACAGTTATTTTTTCTTTATCACAGGATCAATCACGTATTTATGTATCTACCTTAAACTAATTAAAATAATCACAGCTTTCTATCTTCCGCACAATGAGCATAATTTCTTATTTAGTAATCAAATCACAGTAATTTTTTCTTTATCACAGGATCAATCACGTACATATTTATGTATCTACCTTAAACTAATTAACATAATCACAGCTTTCTATCTTCCGTGCAATGAGCACACTATGGTTTTAAAACAGTGATAAAATCTCCGATTCATCAGTAATGTTTGAATTAACTGTGGTGGGTGTTGCTGGTATTGCGTCTATAATATTATCTGCAATTCCGGCAGCAGAGGTCCCTTGCTCGTTTTGCTGGTGCGCATATGATGAAGTATTCGTATAATAACCCTGATTTTGATTATTAGTATAGGACATTGTAGCGTCGCCTGACTCTTTATAATTGTACATTTCATCCTGAGCTTGTGATATGTATCTAATTATATTTATTTTCACGACAGATTTTAATCGATCGGGTACTTTCTTGAAATCAGGCACCAAAGAGAGCATAAACTGTCGGTCAGGATCTTCTTCGTTTTCTTTTTTGTTTATTGAAGTTTTCAGGGTATCGATTAACTCTCGCGTCATTTCTTCAGCAGGATCAGATTTCTTTCTTTTAGTACCTAAGGCTCTGTCTTCATATGGTCCTCCAACTGATTCATTACCTTCCCCGACTGATTCATCGTCTCCTGCAGACAAACTGTTCTGAGTTTTATTTTTTCCAGCGTAAGGTTTTAAAAATAACAATTGATTATAAAATCTATACTGATTATTTTTCTTAGCTCCTGCTCCGCTCTTTATATTTTTTTGTCTTCGACACTCCTTCATGAAGGCGTCTCGAAGGTTTTTCCACTTTATTTGTAGCGAGCGCCCTGTAATAAAAAAATATATTGTTTCAGATACCTGGCCACGGGGTGTTCCTTTACCGATCTGCATTACAGTTATCGACTTGGTATATCAACCATACGAAATATTGTAGAAAAAGTGTGTGATGCATTATGGGATGTAATGAAAATGGAGTGTTTTCCCGAACCTACAACTGAAATGTGGTTAAATGTAGCTGAAGGATTTAAGTCAAGAGCCAATTTTCCTCATGTTTTAGGTGCCTTAGACGGTAAACATGTGCGTGTTATCAAACCATCTCTAACTGGATCGCTGTACTACAATTATAAGCATTATTTTTCCATCTTACTGCTGGCTATTTGTGATTCTAATTACAAATTTATATACGTTGACATAGGTGCTTATGGGAAATGCAGTGATTCTACAGTTTTTCGTGATTCCATTTTTTACCAAAAACTTCAAGATGGAACTCTTAATATACCAAACTCCTCTGCAATTACTGGTATCACCAATTCCGTACCATATTTTTTTATCGGAGATGAAGCTTTCAATATCTCAAACAATGTTCTACGACTCTATGCAGGACATCACTTAAATTACACTTAAAGAGTTTTTAATTATCGCTTGAGCAGGGCACGTAGATATATTGAGTGTGCATTCGGTATTTTAACAC